GTAAGTAGGGCAACTATCCTTTTTGATGCGGATACTTGCCCGTTTTTATTTGCGAAATAAATAAAAATTATTTAGCAATAAAACATGATAAACAGTGTAATTTAAACTCTAATGAATGCAAAGAAACAAAAAGTTGACTGAAACCACGATCAGTAATAAAAATATTTAATAGAAATTACTTACCAATATAATTATAACGCCCGTCAAAGTTTCGCCGCGGAAGATTTTTGCTCACACGGACAAAACACTTGGAGGCCCAAGTGTTTTGTCCGATTCCGATGGCTTACGTGGCATTTAGGCCTGAGGGGCAGTCACTACTTATTGTAGTAAAGCGTCAATACAACTCATAATCCTAACATAGTTTTTTAAACACCGGGGCATGTATCCGTCCGAGGCAACTATCCGGCTTTTACCCTATATAATTAATAAGGTACTAATATATAAACTAATTAGTTAATAATCCATTATTATAATATGGTTATATATCATAGGGTTGAATAGGGTTGAAGAGCTGGCTTGACCGGTCCAAAAGTGAACATATAAGAATAAAAGATTTTTCTTTGGGAGGCGTTTGGTAGGCACAAATTGGCATTTTATTGTAATAAAGATTAAAAATTTAATGTAATTCTCATTCAATCAAACCTTTCTGGGCCAATGTGTATTTTTATTAGCGTAGTTTTGAGATAAGTATTTATTTTTGTTATTTACTGACTAGACTAAACTATTAAAATAAAGCAACCTTTTTACACAGTAACCACGTATATTTTCTAACGTTTGGGTACAAAACTTTATTATTTTTACTTAACTTTATGATATATGGAACTTTATGGCGCTCTCTCTAATGTTCAACACGCACATGAATTAAACTGTTTTATATCAAAATACACTCGTTGATATTGCTCATTGTCATGGCGAATAAAGGCTAAAATGACTCGTCCTGCAAGTAGACTCCTCGGGCGATTATGAATTGTTTACAAATAAACAAAATTACATTCTATTAGTTAGTCATAAGGCCCAGTTTAGGGTGTTAAGTTAGCAGATCGATACGGGGTATATTGCATTTATAAGGTTCTCCAGCTTACATAGATTTGTATATGTTTGTTAATTATTCTAGCCAACTCTATTATATCATGTTAAAACTATATTATATAAAAAAAATCAATGGTGCTACAACCTCTTTAGGTCTTGGCCTCAGATTTCTGAATCTGTTTCATGATCATTTTTAGATCTAATATGCAAGTAGGTGATCAGCCTCCAGTGCCTGATACACGCCGTCGACTTTTGGATCTAAGACATGTCGGTTTCCTCACGATGTTTTCCTTCACCGTTCGATGTTAATTGCGCACATAGAAAGTCCATTGGTGCACAGCCGGGGATTGAACCTACGACCTCAGGTATGAGAGTCGCATGGTGAAGCCACTAGGCCAACACTGCACTATCTTAATATATATATTTCTTCTGTGCGTGTGTATGTGACTGAACTCCTCTCAAACGACTGGACCGATTTTGATGAAATTTTTTGTGTGTGTTCAAGGGGATCTGGGAATGGTTTAGATTCACAAATCAGCCCGGCAGATGGCACTGCAGTCGGTACTTTCATACTTTGCTTAATATCCTAATCGCTTTAAATATCATGCAGGACAACGTCTGTGGGGTCCACTAGTATTATATAAATTTTAACATATTAGGAAATCAGAACAATTAAAAATAACGTTTATTGTTAAAAAAATAATTAATTCATAGTATATGTATGTTGTAATTCTAAATAATCTAATTAGCGGGGTTGCGTCATATTATACATTGTAATAGAGAAACGAATATTAATCCTATTAAGGCTATTTTTATTTTTTATTTAATCCAACAAATTCAAAGGCTCGGTATTTGAATAGTAATATCTAACTACGAACATTATTTTATTAAGACAGACAATAGCGGGGACTCCCCCTTAACTTAGCATCCTAAGAATCAAAAAGATTGACAAAATACGATGTGACCAGAGTGAAAACTGAGATAACAGACGAGCAAACTCATGATTTATAGCTAAAATGGTTATTGACAGGCGATATTGCATGGTAAAAGACGGAACCTTCAGGAAAATGAAACGTGAACTTACCGCAAAAGCGATGAGCTGAAGATTATAAAGGTTTATGGGCAGACATGGATGGAGGAAGAACAAAATAAAGTTTAGGAGCAGGCCTTTAATAAAGGGGTCTATATTGAACACGAAGTATTAGAAATAACAATAACTAACGTAGACTAAGTGTATAATAACCAAATATTTGTAATTTTTATAGTATGGAATTAAAGTGGCTTCATTATTATTAGTATAGAACATAAAGAAACGGTTATTTTTATTTTTTGGCTTTAAAAATTCAACATATAACTTAATTTAAAGCCGCCAAAATGCTCTCGCAAAATGGCGTTGATGCTTGTCCACACGTAAAATGTCAAAATTTCCAATTGTCATTCTTAAATAACACAAATAATTTAATTTTACTACGAAATGAAGCAATACATTCTTGAAGCCTTGTTGTATGTACAAAAAAATATAATAAACGATTTTAAAACAAATGGTGACTTTCACCAGTATAATACGCGAAATATAACTAATTTAAGTGTACGACCAACCAGGCTCCAAAAGATAAACCACTCCTTATATGGAAATTGTATTCGTTTTTACAACAAGCGAAATTAGAAATTATCACTAAATAAATTCAAAGCCCTCGTTAAACGTAAATTAATCAATAAAGCTTTTTATATTATTAGAATTAGATAGCACATATCGTTTTCGAGTTTACAAATATTTAGTTATGGATTTTTTGACAAATTAATGATTACAAGTTGAAAGCCGTGTGTCTAACAGATTGAGCAGTGTTGGCCTAATGGCTTCATGATCTTCGGCTGTGCACCAATGTGCGCATTTAACATTCGCTTGAACGGTGAAAGAAAACATCGTGAGGAAACCGGCTTGCCTTAGACCCAAAAACCATAAAGTCTTGGTAACATTTGTCACACGCTTTTCTTGATTTTTCTGACAAAACACTATTCGTCAGTTTCGTAGCTGTTTCTAGAATGTCAATTTTCATCGGTATCGTCGGTGTTGCTTGACATTTTTGCTACAAAAGTTTTATCCAACAAAATATTATCTACTCAAATTCGTATGTACGAAATAGCGCCAAAATGGAAAAAGTCTGTTACTGGGAGTTGCGCGCGCAGCGCGCTCACCACAGATTATGTTTACTTAAATTGAATTGAAACCTCCTTGGTCGGGACACATTGTACAAATATTGTTATATGGTAGATCTTTCATACTCTCTCTTAAACTATTTACGAGAGACTATAGAGACATTTTATAATTCATTATTGAAGCGTGTCTTAATTACTGTAAAGTTTGCGATATTTTTTAACACGTAGTGAAACTTATTATATAACGTAAACACATATGCTTTCATTATGTTCACGGTAATTACTATGATCACGATTTTCACGAGATTAAATACTTTTTAATCGTTAAAACTTCCGCACATATTAATATCATAAACTAGACTGTATAGGGAAATTGCATTAATATGTGTTTATATTGAAGTAACAAAATTTTATTTTTTTAAAACAGACAAAACAGTCGTAATAGTGCTTTACGACTCTGTTCCCCGGGGCAAGCGAATTCCAATACATTTCTGCAATACGGGAATTCTTGTAGCATTTCAGTAGGGAAAAATAAACAAAAGAAGTCTGCGCATCTAAGGTCAAATTAGCCTTTTTAGTTTTTTACATTCTACCATAACGCCCTCTAAACGCTTTTTTTATGGTCTATCCAACCCTTTTTACTTTGCATACATTAACGATTGGTTATGGACAGTTGTAGGGTTGACGTCAAAACACTAGTTAAGGGTGAAATGTATTTTTAATAGGTATAATAAGGTCGTAGTTAGAAAAGAATTGAGATTTGTCAAAGAGTACCTAATGGATATGTACTAAATAGTCAAAGTCAAAATAGCTTTATTCATATAGGTAAAACTGGTACACTTATGAACGTCAGAAAAGAAGTTAAATTAATTCTTAATTTACATTTACTACCAGTTCGCAAGTTAAGGGCGTAGAGCGGGCAAGAAGAACTGATAAGAAACATAAACAAAATAATTAGGGTAAAACCTTACCTAAGCCTAAAGCGCAGCATACAAAGCTACAGGTGTGTCAAAGAGCGATGGAACGATGTGTGATAGGGAAGAAAAGAAGAGACAAAATAAAGAATACAGCGTTAAGAAAAATAACTAAGGTTATGTTACAATAAAAATAAATAAACTAAAGTACAATTAATTATTGTGCCTTAATATTTGTAAATTGCGAAAGATTTGCCGGCCGGATACCATCCGCTAAGGCCGTTATTTTTCAAGAGTTGAGGTCAACGTGCTTAGTCTGAATAGCGTTAGTTGAGAAGGTTTTACACATTTGCAAAAATATAATGTCAAATATCAAATAAATATTACATTAATTAACTGATAATCCTTAACAAAATGTAAACGTCAATATGAGCACTTTAGCTAAAAATTTTCGATAATTCAACACATTAACTCGTTTTGATTATTTAGTTCAGATAAGTCAAGTTAGTTGTTCTCTGTTAATCCAGCGTCGCAACCAACCCACTGATGACGACTACCTGTATCTAATGTTATCTTAGTTACAAGGTGATGTTTTTTTTTGTTGCCAGCTTCAAACAAAGTGTTTTATAAAGAACAGCAAGCATAATATTATTTATCCATACAACAACCGCCGCCACCGAACACAATAAATTTAATAATGGCACGACATTTATAAGATTTTTTTGTATGCTTGTTTATTTATTTTCGTCAAATAATTAATTAATATAAAAAAAATAGACAAACCTAAACGATCATGTTAATTATGTTCACCTATTCTATCTACTACATTCTATACGTACATATAAATAAACTAGCGACCCGCCCCGGCTTCGCACGGGTGCAATGCTGATACTAAATACACTACAGAAAAACTGTGAACGTTGTCATGGCGTCTTGCGATTTTTCGTGTAAATATCGAGGGCCATCTGTGAATGATGAAGGTAGTATAACCAACTGCCCAATGCCGTTGCGGTGTTCATTCGCCTGTAAAGCATCCCGAAGATGAACGTAATTTTCAGCTCTCAATTTAGTTTGATTATTACGGATGTAGGCCAATCTCTCAGATTCAATTTTCGCATATTGATCTACCAAGTACCTATTGGTTTGTTAACATTCCATATCTAAGCAAAGTATTGAAATTGTTACGTCTTGTCATTATACGGTAGCAATAGTAGTTCATACATGACACTGTTTTACGCAGAGGTGTACCACCGATTGGGTTAACTTGAGAAATATTAATGGCATAACCATTTTCTCCACGACATAGCATCAAAGGATATTGTAAGCTGTCATAAGATCTGTGTAACTCTGAAATTTTTTGCAAATTATCATCACGACTATGCAATACAATTTCTCTTTTGTCAAATTGCTGTCCAGCTATCACCACTGCTACTTCACTCGTGGAAGGCGCATTGTATCGTCCTCTGTGTTCTCCAACAGGAACTTTATTTGCATGGATTACGACATTAAAGTCAGGATTATCTGCTGGAACACTCTCAATCGCAGTTTTGAAAGACTGTATGTAGCAATTATAAGAATGTAACATATCTTGGAGAGATCTAATCAAATCTCTATCAATTGGCTGTGCAACACTTGTGAAGTGGTAGCAAGCTCCCAGCTAAGTGGTACACTTGCCCTTGAATTTTAAATGTAGGCATGAACCCACGCTCAACGACTTGCTTACTCTTAAAAGAGGTCATTTGAAATGCGTTATTATAACGGCGTATATTGCGCATGAATTGCTTGGATTTCTGATGATCACCCGTAAGAAGAGAGTGAAGTGGTTCAGGTGGCAGGAGAACTTCTTCTAATTTGACTTTTCCTTGTAAGCAACACATGCCTTTCGATTCGTCCTTGAATTTCAATGCCAAGCAATGTTCACACACTACTGACATAGTACCTATTGATACTATACGATCGTCCTTGTAAGAAATTGAAGGATCGTAATTCATGGCAGAATTTTCTTTATTCACCCATGAATGAGTAACTCGTGCTGATGATTCTCTGGCTCTCTATTCGATGTCTTTCCCTATCTCGGCTGCGGTGAACCTCACGCTCTACTAAAGATTCTCTCTCTCTCTCAGCTCTATATCTATCCCGAAGCTGCCTGAGTTTTAAACTACTATCATACAATTATTTATCGTAACTTACTTATAATTACTGATACGTTGTCGCGCTGAAAAGCACGTTTTTATAATAAACGCGTCCGATCGCTGCTAAATTCAAAGTGCTAAAGGGAAAACCGCGGCCGCAAACGCTACGTCCCGCAATTTTTAAATCTGTAATATCTTCGAAAATATTCACTTAAATCATACGGTGTAAAATGCCATATAGATCTATATTAAATGAACAATGTATTCAAGGTAAATTGGTTAAGGATTAATGCTGTATTGGTTAAAATCGCTTCGAAAATTAGCCATTATTTGTCGTAAAAAGTAAATGACAAAAAAAGTTATTGTGGGTTATCCATAAGAGATAGACATATACCATCACGGACTTTTCTGTAGACCTTTTCAATGTGTACAATACTTAGTACATTATTTTGATAAAACTCGTAGGGTTCAGGCTGTGTTTGCAATGTTAGCGGAAAAAATGTAATTATTTACAACATCACATTAGAAAACTCAAAAATAACAGTACTTCTCCAACATTTAAAATCCGTTAAAATACCGCATCAAAATCCGTTATGTAGTTTCAAAGATTTAAGCATACAAAGGGACATAGGGACAGAGAAAGCGACTTTGTTTTATACTATGTAGTGAAGAATCAACGGAACACAAGATTTTGTTATTTTTTTTCTTTTATAAATAAAACTGTATATTCACTGTAAATTATTCTGTTATTGTTTATTATTTATTCCACTTTTGATTAAATAAACATTTCTGATTTCTTTAATCATACAAAGCACTCCTCGAATTGAAGACATGTCATACCATTTAGTTTGACTTTTTTATTTTGGGTTTCTTGACCTATTTAATTTAACAAAGCTATTTTTTTTTCCTTAACTGTAGTTTTGCATTCTTACAGCCTCTGCCGAAACTGAAAATACCAATGTATGTATGTTATGAGTGTACTGCTCTGTTGAAGAAATACTTTGTATTTAGACAAAAATGCCTCCGTGGACAGGCAGTGCTCCAAGCACTTTTATCAAATAATGGGGAGGTATTATAAACCAATATCTATATTTTATCAAATGTAATGCAGTGAAATTTTACAAGTAGTATAATAATATGTTATAATAGAAGAGATAAGAACAAACATAATACGTAAATGGTCTATTAACAGGCTTATTGTAAATATTATTGATACATTAAAACTTATTATAGTTAATATAAGCGACCTTTCCCGATTACTGCAGGTCGTTTCGTTTTAAAAGATGTTTAAATAAAAGCAATGTTATTGATGGATGAGTAATGTTTGATTAATTCGTTATAAACATACCTTTGCTCTCTATTATATTGTAAAGACTTCATAAAGCGAAATACATTAACTACAGATACACTGAACCGTCTGCCATCCCTGGGCGGTGATGCGGCGACGCGCCGAGCAACTTTACGCGCGCTCATGACATGCCGAGACTCGGTACTCGCTGACCGACGGCGGTCACAGCTCCAGCGGAATTCTACTTCTGGATACCTTTATGATGAACCACTTGTTGACGTAAATATAATAATTTATTATAAGCATCATTAATTTTGTTCGTAACAATCAATAGGTATGTTGTCATCAGAAATATCAACAAAAAAGGTCTAGAAATGTTAGGCTTTCACCGCCACTAATCTAACTGAAAACGACACTAAATATATAAGCATTGGAAATTCTTTATTCTACACAGACAAGAATTAGTACTTTCGATCTAAAATAGCAGTGAATACCAAAAAAAACCAGTTTCAAGTTAGACTGGTTAATCTAAATCGTGCAATCGTAAAACCCACAAACCGTACAAAATTGTTACGCTCGTTCCGTATCATCAATTCCTTGAACACGGGCATATGTCGCAAATGCACATTTCATATATATGTGCATGTCAAACATACTTTAACAAATTAATTAACATATTAGACATTTCAGCAGTCACTTACTTGGGGCTTTTAAGATCTCGATGGATAATCTTATGAGCATGTAGATATGCCATGCCACGAGCAATTTCTTTAGCCCATTTCAATAGTTGCTTTGGCATAAATACAGTGTTGCTATGAAGAAAGTCAAACAGTGATCCATATTGACAGTACTCCATAATGATGCAGAAGTCCGGAGGGTTTGTGCACACTCCCAGAAAGCGAACTATATTAACATATTATATAGTAATAGTTTGAAATTTAAACATGACTTACATAATCAACTCAAAAAACAAATAAGTTAGGCACATACTGCTTCCAACTCTTAACACAGTAATAAATACTTAAAGCTTAAAATGAATTGTTTTTATTGTAAGAGAGATATGATAAGATACGAGCAACTATAAAGAAAAAAGGTAAATGTTTTATATAAAATGTTAACTAATTGACTTTTTAAAATTTAATACTAAATACCAACCAATATTTTCATGATTCAACTTTAAGAGATGTCTGATATTAGTCTTATGTTTAGTGCGTAACTGTTTAACAGCAACCTTTTCGCCATCTAGATGTGCTCCAAACACCACACCTTGAGCTCCAGAGCCCAAGTAAAACAAGTCTGTTATTTTTTCAATTGGAACTTCCACATTTTCTAAAAAGATTTAATGCCTTTACTATTTTCCTTAAATATTATGTCCCTAATTATTAGGCAACAATAAAAAATAATAGGCCAAAATCTTTATGTATTTATTTGACACATTATATTATTTGTTTATGTATAAGGAAGGCATATAAGCTGTTTGTTTGAAAACAAAAACAATAGTAGCCATTTAATTCTTGTTTTCATGCTAATATAAAACCTATTATATTCCAAACGAAAATTAAATACACTTTATGCCCAATGCATGTATTACATTTGGGAGACGTAGCAGAATCAAATGCTTTCCAGCGGGCCCTAAAAATATCCTTTCATCTCCCACCGGGCTCATTTATGATTATATAATAAAAGAAGAATAAAAGAGTCAAGCTCTTATGACTCTATAAGCCTCTACAGACTCTATGATCTAAACCAACTCCCACTGAACCCTTATCTGTCTCATATTAGTTATACCACATTAGTAACTTTTATGTTGATAATTTTAGGATATAACTTTTAAATCAAGTTGTGTTATTTGAGTTTATGTAAAATTAAATCTATTTAAAAATAATGATTAATTAAAGGTAATACTGCCTTCTCTTGTAGAATACTAATATTTAAATTTATTTAAAACCCTTGATTAAAGTGAATTTTACTTTAACCACAAAGGAATCATTAATGAGGCTATAAAAAATAAGAAACAGAATTTAAGTGTAAAATGAAGTTTTGATCTAAAACATTGCTCTCAGAGAACCTGTGATGTAGAGCAGGATAGCATGTGGGAAATCGATTATCCCCAGGACGAGTTATAAATATAACATAATTTAAAATCAATCGAGCCTCATCTGCGTAGCGCAGCAACCTTGAAAACTGCATCAATGCACGAGCCGCGCAATCCTAGAGAAAATTCGAGGAAACGACCATCTTACCTTTTAGTGATTTGTATTCTTCGCCTTTAAACATTGACACCACATTCGAAAAACAATGAAATACACCGCCCATCCAGTAATCTGACTTTTTTTCCTCTTCCCATGGTGGTGTGCCAAAGTCAGGGTCCTCATTTTTTCTTCAAAAAGCTCGGGGTCGTCATCATAGTTGCCTTCAGCCATTATTCACTCTTTTATTGAAATTAACTTAAACTAAACGATTGAAGAAATTAAAGCACGGTAAATTATTGTATTTTCCAAGAATACAGCCCGGGCAAGCCTATAAAGCTCGCGAATAGAAAATAAGGAACTCTAAGAGCTTGGCCACAGTTTCTGGCGGTGTGGAGCGCGGCGCGGCGAGAGGGGCTGCGAGAGGCGCGGTTTGCGGTGGTATGCCACAGCTCGACCAGTTGCGACCGCGGCATCAGCGGTGGACGTATTAAGAGTATATTAGTTAGTTTTATTAGTTTAATTTCGTCCCACAATTTTTTTATAATATGCCTATATTTGTGATGTGGATGTTTTGACATCCATATTGCTGGTCTACTCAGTATTTCACTAATAAATTGTTCAGTATCCATTATTTTATATGAGCTCAATGCGCGATAAAAACAAAATTATTTGTTTTGGTCGCGCGATGCTAAATGCGTCCACCACTGCCGCTGCGCGCGCGCTGCTCTGAGCTGTGGCCGCCTCGATACTCCCGAGTGCATTTGTTTCACTCGCACGCCGCGCAGACCCCCGCCGCCGCCACCGCGCGGGTAGCCACCGCGCCGCAGGTCGCACCGCAATGCGCGTCGCCGATAGCTGTGGCATACTTCATACAATTTGCTCAATTTGTTTTTGCCAAAATGGGTCACTCTTCGATCGACTGCCGACCTGTGCGGACGTCTGCTCCTGCGCCATCTCGCTGCCATCTCGCTCACTCCTTGTGAGTCATCGCCGCCTGCCGCTGTACAGTGCGCACGCGCTGTCCGACTGCTGCCTTGCTGCCTGCTGCCCTCTCATTGGTCGCTTCGCGTCTTCGGTGATTGGACATCGCGTTGAAGGCTGCAATTTATGAGCGCGGGTTTACCTGCGGCCGTCCGATAGCCACCTAACGGTGCTAAACGGTTATCGAACGGTTAACGCCTTGTGCGGGTGTTTTGTCCGGGGTGCATACACCGTGCCTTTTTCAAGGCGCGAATCAGCCCCTCCGCTTCCTCCAAGTCCTGTGCGCAGCCGGGCCTCTTAGTAGGCACTTATTAGGGAGTAGGCACGCCAACTACTCTCTTGAAACCGGCTTCAATCAAGTCCACTGTTGGACGGGTCCTGTCACATCCGCAGGGGCTCTATTTACCCAAACTCCTGCGGGCTGGTTAGGTCTGTGACAAACCTCACCTCCGCTATCACCAGCGGAGACACATACATATTAGGGCAAACCACAGCTTAGGTACTCACACGTTAGACGTAGGTACACACTCGCCGCCAAACTGTCTGGCTTCCCGCCTACAGGATGGCGTCCGAGGTTCAACCGCCCGATCTAAATAAAATATTTTCATTTTTAAAAGAGCGTTTTCCTGACGCTATTAAAGCTTTTTTACGAGTCAGAGTGCACTGACTCACCCCGTTCGCCATCTCCGTCGCCGCGTAAGACGAGAAAAAATGCCTCCGCGAAGGCACCGCCCAAAAATAGCATTTTATCAACCGACCAATCCCGTGCTCGCTCGCGCTCGCGCTCACCACTCCCTGAAATGAGAAGCGCAAGCGATGGGGAGACGGATTTAGCGCGTCCTTTGTCGGCAATGTCGGCCCAATCCGCTCCGGCGGAAACGGTAGACGAAGCCGTTTTATCTTCATCCTCGGAATCCGACGGATTCCAAACCGTCGGACGTAAGAAAAAGCGCTCGGCTAACGGCGGCCCACCCAGCCGACAAACCCTCCGAAGAGGGATTTAAGTTCGTTGTTATCGGACAAATCGGACAAACCTGCGCCCTCCGCCCCCGCGGATCGCATCAAAACCCCTCCGCCCGTTTATGTTAGGGACAAGGGCGTATGGCCCACCCTTTCTAAGCTTCTCGACACTAAGTCGATTAGTTATAAAGCCCGAACTTTGAGGGATAACATTTGCATACAGGTGTCCACACCTGAGCACCACCGGTTCCTTACCTCTTACCTTCGTTCCGAAGGTATCGGAGGTCACACTTTCCCTGTTGCGACATTGCGCAATGTATACATCAGGCGCATTTTTTGCATTATAATAATTGTAAGGTGGGGCGACGTGCGCCATCACTTCTCTTTGTACTCGACTAGCGAAAGGTCATATTAAACAAGTTTGTACAAGAAGTCTTAAAGAGTTTCATTTACCGGCCCAGTCATTCCCTAAAGAATGAACATGGTGGCCCATGAGGGGATCAAAGAAGAAATAGAAGATTAATCAAGAAATAATCAATCGAGCAGTAGTACAGCTAAAGTGCCACATCGAGAGATTTAACCAAAAGTTAAGTGTTCCTTGTCCTTTTCTTTTTGTGTTCCAAACTGTGTCCTTAATTCAATTAATTGTGCAAATAAGTATTTTATTGATAAGCCTTTTTTAAAGTTGTGAGATTAAGTAATTGGTTAAAAATTTAATTTTTCATAGCACGTAGGTAGCAAAGTGCCACATCTACGACCTACATTTAGGAAAAAATTAGTGATTATTTTATTATTGTTTCATCTTTTGATCGTTATATAACATTTAATTAGATACCAAAGACACGGAGATATACAATATTATTTTTTATATTTTCGCATATATATACGTATATTATATCATATATTTATATTTGGTTTTTAGTATTTCGTCTTAGACTTTGTTAACACTAATTAGGTATTTAATTGCTCTCTAGCTAATTCCGTGTTTAGGTAGCTACATTCAAGCGCATTTGCCGATTTTTTCAGATTTTTTTTTTGTCGCGTCGACGCGGCAGTTGCGTTGCACCGGCCGGGAGCCGTGAGTAAGCAACTAAAGCATTGCGTGACAGGTACCACCGAATGAGGAGAGTGAGCCAATTTTGTTTAATTTAAACATTTTAAGTGTTTGTTATTATTTTGATTCTAGTTTATCATGTCTATAGAAACAAAGTTAAGATTAAAAGAATTAATTATAAAAAGGTCGTCTGCTAAGGGACAGATAACAAAATTTAAAAATTATTTAACTGGTATAAATGATAAGCTGGAATTAAATAATATAGAGTTTACCGAGTTAAAATTAAAATTAGCTAAATTTGAAGCTTTGTCGGTTAGGGTTGACGATTTGCAAGGTGAAATAGAAGTTTTAAGTCCTGAAAACATTTCAACCGAAATTGATGAGCGTGATAATATCGAACAGGATATTATAATAAGCATTGCAACCGCCAAAACTTTAGTTGAAAGGTTTTCAAAGGTATTTGAGTGTGAGCATAAGCGAAATTCAATGCACAACGTTTCATGTTGCGTTGATGAATCTAATTCTTGTACTGACCTGGGATTAAAATTGCCACAGATACAAATTAATAAATTTGACGGTGCATATTTCCGTTGGCTAGAATTTAAAGACACATTTGAGAATTTAATTCACAATAATGACCGTATACCACCAATTAATAAATTTCATTACTTAATTTCTTATTTACAAGGTGACGCGGCTAGGGTTATTTCTAACTTCGAGGTGTCTGCTAACAATTATGTCAGCGCATGGGATTTATTGTGTAGCCGCTATAATAATAAACGTATTCTTATTAATCATCACTTAAATTCAATATTTAATATTAAGCAGCTTCCTCGAGAATCAGAGCGTGCTTTGCGATTTCTGGTAGATCAAGTAACAAAGGATTTGCGTGCCTTGGCAAGTTTAGGGCAACCTACGCATACATGGGATACATTAATAGTGTTTATGTTATCTTCAAAATTGGATAACAACACTTTATTGAAATGGGAAGAGGTTCGCAGTAGCTTAGATGGTGATGTACCCAATCTGGAACAATTTTATAAATTTTTAATAGATCGTGCTGATATATTAGAATCTTTAAATCGAAATAACAAGTCAGATATCAATGTTTCTAAACCTCATGTTCAAGTGCGTTCTACCTATAATAATAATTATAACACTAGTAATCAATTTCTAAAACAAGGACAGGGACAAGGAAATCAAATAAAAACATTTCTAAGTTATAAAAATAATAAAAATAAACAATTAAATACAAAATTTTCATGTATAATTTGTGATAAGAATCATAAAATATATGATTGTCCTACCTTCAAGGACAAAGGTTTAGATGAGCGAATGCAAGACGTAGTGAAATATAAACTATGCCAGATTTGTCTAAGGCAAGGTCATTCCGTAAATGATTGTCGTATGGGACCTTGTCGCGTGGCTAGATGTACGGAAAAGCACAACAGTATGCTGCATTGCTCATCCAACCCATCTACATTAAGCTCTAATTCTAGAGACAGCGATCAAACAAATATTTTTGTGAATTATGCTAACGAAGACACATGTCACGTACTGTTGTCTACTGCTTTTATTGAGGTGTCGGATCCACTTGGTCAGCAAAAGATCAAGGTTCGCGCGCTTCTAGATTGTGGAAGTCAAGCTTCTTTTATAACGAAATCTTTACAGAACAGATTGTCATTAAAGCCTAATCAAGTTGACACTCTAAAGGTCATCGGCATTGGCAACTGTTCAAGTAGTGTTACTGAAACTTGTAATATTCAAATAAATTCATTAAACAGTAATTACAGTTCAATGTTGTCTTGCTACGTTTTAAAAGAATTAACAGGGCAATTACCTAAAGGCCCAATAGAAATAACATTTAAGTTGCCTAGGAACATGCAGTTGGCTGATCCAAGGTTTGACCAACCTGCTCCAGTAGACGTCTTGATAGGTGCAGACTTATTCTGGGATATAATAAGCGATGGGCAATATTCGCTAGGCAACTGTGGTCCAAAGTTAAGAAATTCCCATTTAGGTTGGTTAATATGTGGTCCTATTTATTCAGCAAGGACTAGCAGAGCCATACAGTGCAATCAATGTTTAGTACCATCTCAAAAGAATAAATTGGATAATTTGTTGATAAAGTTTTGGGAGGTAGAGGACTTTCCCTATAACTCAGTATGTAGGAAAAGTTACGATGATAAGGAAAGTGAACAGCATTTTTTAGAAAACACTACTAGAGATAGTGATG